ATGGTTCAAAGCAGAAGATTACGGTATGCCTCCAAAGCTCTCTGCCTGGGGCAAAGAAGTCTTTGAACGCGTACCATGACGCATGGGGCATACTACAGAAGTCCACGAACGTACACTTTTGATGTTTCGGGCATTCTTAAGCCAGGCTTGAACACATTTTTGCTAGATGCGGGTGGCATGGGCTTGAAGGAGAAAACATTTCTGCAGCCAACCATCGTTTATGATTCTGTTGCTCTGCACTAGCTTTCACCACGCGAGCGAGTCATTGGCTATCCCGCTGGACGGTATCGTCAATGCTACCTGGCTTCTTGCGATACCATTGCCAAGTCTTTAGTTTAATACATGTCGTACGTTTTGTTTCTTGCTGCAGGTTACTGCGTCCTCTTTTGTCAAGCTGATTTGTTGTTCTTTTCTTTTGATGTCTTGACAAAGTTACCGCCCAAGCAAGACGCTTGTTGTGTTTGTATGCAGGATGGACTCGCACCACACGCGCAGCGTCTGCCATCTCTGTCTCCGCACACTATCGATGGTGTGTTTTGTGCCAAATATTGGCATGATCTAGCAATCTGGCTCGATCGGCAGCCTTTGCTCTTCCAAGCCACCGTTCTTTTCAAGCAATCATGGCTCCGGACTATCTTGAGAAAACACAAGTATGTTCAATCAATATGTGGCATGTTTGCAAATGATTGCAGGTACTCTAATTTGACGGCTCTACGTTGAGTGCAAACAGAGGGAAGCAGGCCTCAAGAGTGGATTACCGCGCCATTGGAACAGTAGCAACAAAACTCCAAGCAAGGCATGAGTTGCAGTAGCGTGTCGCGAGGTTCAGAGAGCGATGCGCCGACAAAGCGTTCAGCGCCCATGCTCAGTCTTGGTATACAGACTGGCCATATTTCTCAATCGAGACGGACACGTCGTCACGGTAAGTGCCATCTCACAGATGCAGCAGTCATTAACATGAAGCCATTTCCTACACCGCGCGCCTTGCCGCCACTGGTACAAACGGCGCGTTCAGTTGCAGGCAGCAGGACCACGGGCGATCAGCAGGAATTGGACAAGTTCGACAAGTACTTCGGAGAGTTTATCTTTGCGAGTGAATGCAGCAAGTAGTAGCGACCCTCATGGACAGTGTAGATTTATCAGCTAGCACAATGGAAATGTATCTTCATGACCAAGACTCAAGTAGATGTCTGGCTGGTCCACTGGAAGTCCCAGCGTGTGAAGAATCCCAAATTTTGTTGCGACGAGCAGACTTCAATCGCTACAGAGCCGATAGCTGAAGGGCCGTAGAACTGTCTTCCGCTATGGCAGCCGACTCACAGATCCTGTTACAGCCTACAGAAGAGGCGCAGCAGCATCGCAAGTCACGAAGTCAAGCACGGCTCGCCCGCAAATCAGGCAATGCCACAGACCCTTCAAATAGCTCGACACCCTCACGCGTGCGCATCATGCGTACAATTGGCGCGTCACGGGTAAGCAAGGAGGTTGCTTTAGTCATCTCTCTCCACTCTTCTCTAGCTGTGGCAAGTTTTTATTCTTGACGGTGGGTTGTGAAGCGCGTGTGCATAGTACTGCTACGGGTGATTTACTTCAACCATTGCTACCCGAGGCGACGACGCGTCCTATTGTCTCGCTCTTTCTCGATCCAAGCAATGCGTATCGATTAGCTGGAGTCTATCAAGATGGTCTATCTCGGTCTGGACTATACAGATGGTGCGCTGCTCAAGCAGTTGCACCTCACCGACCAACGGACTGTCGTCGCTGCGACGCTGAATGGTTCACTTTTGCTAGTCAGCGATGGCAAGCATGTCTTTTCAGCTGAATGGTCGACCAAGACGGCTACCTTGCCAACAACACAGGTAGCAGATATGAAAGCCTGTCTCGGTCTTTCCAGTGCCCCCGGACTCTGCTTCGCGTGGGGCGACAACAAAGTCAACGTCTTCCCTATACAAAAGGAAAAACTAGGACAATACGAACAGTACGTATTGGCAAGCCCAGCGACTGCATTTGCAGCAGACGCAACACATTTCGCAGTGTCAGATGACGCTGGTGCGATCTATCTCTACCACCACGCTGCACGGAATCTTGCTTTGCCACCACGAAAATTGCATTGGCACGCACAAGCCTGTACGACTCTTCAATTCGCGTTGGATGGCGCATACTTGTTGTCTGGTGGACATGAAGGTGTGTTGGTGCTTTGGCAACTCGCTACTTCTGGGAAACAATTCTTGCCACGCGTTGGCACAGCCATTCGAGCGATCGGTGTGAGTGCTAAAAGTACGCAGTATGCCGTCAAGTTGGAGGAGAATACCGTCAAGGTCCTCTCTGCATCAACTTTACTCGCGACATGCGATATCGCTGGTCCTAAACGCGCAAGTGTCATGTGTTCACATGGTGAAGAGGTCATGATGGCGGCTGGTGGACAAGTACAAACATGGCACAGTCAAATGGCAACAGCAACAGGTCTCCTCAATGCAACGGCACAGTCATTTGCCGGCGCTACACAAGTCGGTAAAGCGAGTATCCCTGTTCCTGAGCCAGAAATCACACACATGGCAGTGTCGCCTGCGGGTACGTGGTTGTGTACTGCAGATTGCTGGACGACGCCGTTTGAAGAGGCTGCTGATTTGGGATACACTAAACCGCATGATCAAGTGAGTCTCAAATTTTGGCAACGGCATGCTGGTTCTTGGCGATTATCAACACGTGTGGATGCGCCGCATGGTGTTGCACGACTCACGACGATTCAAGCACTCGGTGGTGATGTGTTTGTCACTGCAGGTGAAGATCAAGCTGTCAAGTTTTGGAACAAGAATAGTGTGCGTTCATCTGATGATGCAGCACAAGCGTACAAATGCACGCGAGTTCTTCGATTTGCACAACCGTCATTGATGCATGAACGTGCACCTGCGCTACGATTGGCCGTTTCTGGGGATGCTTCATTGCTAGCACTGTCGGGACCACCAGCACCGCATACCACCGATGCATCCGTTCTTCTCGTTGACCCTGCAACACGACAGATTTGCGCGACGCTCGCTGGGTTGGGACTTGGGACACTGCTTGATCTTGGGTTTGCCGGGGATTACTTGATTTTGGTTGGACAATACAGATTGGTGTGTTGGTGCGTTGCAGCGTCTCAGGTGGTGTATGCGTTGCGTTGGCCTGAACGGACATTTCGAGCAACCTTGACGTGTCCTATACCCACTCCAATCTCTGATGCAACGACAAAAGTGGCGCATTTCTGTATTGCAACGCAGGAATCGAAGCAAGCGACCGGTGCGTCCCTCAAGACAATCTCCGAGGGATCCCATAAACTCTTCATTTTCGGGACGCATGCAGCGAAACCTGTGTTTCGGGAGAAGTGTCCATTCAAGACACTGGCAGTGGGTGCGTTGACGGATGGGTTTGTTGTGTTGGATGAAACGCTTGTGTTGAGACGTATCGGTGCAGGTCCCGCAAAGGACGCTGACGTAGCCCTCACACATGACTCCAGCGCATTGACGGTCACTTCCGGCATCAGCAGTTTATATGGCGCCACAACAGCAACGACAGGGGTGGTTGGATTGGAAGAGGATGGACAGGTGCGTGTATTGACGTCACAGGCAGTCGAGACACTGATGCCTGTTGCGACGGCGAATGGTGCTGGTGCGTCGCTTGCATCGCTTGAGCAGTGTATGGCTGGTTTGGGTCTCTTCTTGCTGGGAGCACCGTCACCTGCTACATCATAGGTCTGTACGTACTGTCCATCTAATACAAAAGATGCAATGATTTCCAACCGATAATTTGACTACGAAAGAGATTGAACACCTACCGAGATTACAACAGACTAGCCACGTGGACGCCCCTTTGTGAATAATTGACACGACAGAGAGAAGGACAAGACCGACTCCTAATCAAGCAGGACAGAAAGTAACGACAAAGTTACTTGTGTTTTTGCAAACGGTATCAGCCGGTGATCCGAGGTGCATGTCTGAGTCTTCACGCCACGCTTGATCCAATGCACATCCACCCAATGGGCAGTATTTCGTTTGACACGATGAAACAGAGGGAACAATCTTGCAGCCGACGTTGTTTCCAGGGATGGCAGAGATGTCATAGGCTGTGATGTCGGTGTTGTACATGTCGGTGTTCAGACCTGATCCGAATTCAGCAAGGATAGGACCTTTCTGCCAAATGATAGAGGAACATTGGTAGCCTTGGCAATCACCTACTGCACAGGTGAAGGAAGATCCCGAACCCGTACACCCTGTACGTGCCCAGATTTGTAGACCGAGTGCTGATTTGGGAATGGCGAGGGTAATGCTGCTACCGGCAGGCATGGCATTACCAAGGACACGTGGGTCAACGATACCACCGGCTTTGTTAGTTTGCCAGCCAGCTTGCCAGATATCAAAGGCACAGTTGTTGACAACTTGAATAGCATACTCGCTGCCACTGGGAGACATTTGTAAGCCACCACCGGAAACAGGTGTAGGTGCAGCGATGGGGGCGGTGGTGGAGGTACGGAGGGTGGGTGCAACAGCTGCTTTGACAATGTTGTCGACCGGTGCGATCAGTGCTGCTGCTGGTGCTGCTGCGGGAACAGGAGCGGGTGTGCCTTTGCCGGCAACGACACGAGTGACGGTGGTGTAGACAGCTGCGACGGCTGGTGCAGCGACGGGAGCTGCGACGACGGGAGCCACAACAGGAGCAGCTGGAGCAGCAACAGGAGCAGCTGGAGCTGATTGACCGCCAAAGTTGACATTGGACCAGTCTTTGTTCTTGAGGGCATCTCCCCAGTTGATGCCAGAGAGGTCATAGCCTCGTGCGTGGTGCTGGTGGGTTGTACGTCTGCCTGGTGCTGCGATGGATGCGCCTGCGAGGGCTGCGGATGCGATGAGGTGGGAGAGTGCGACCATGGTTGATGCTGTTGGATGCTTTGTGTGCTAGAGAGCGAATTTGGTTAAGAGAGTGTGATGCTGCCGTGAGCTGTAGCTGTGGTGAGCAGTGAGTCGATGGTGCTGCTTGTGTTGGTGTTGATGGAGTATCTCTTTCTCTGCTTCTGTCCCTTTCTTTCCTGCTTCCTTCCCTTCTTCTGCTCCAATTTCCCAATTTCCCCTTAGATTGTTTATTTCCCCGTATCCGCCACTCCCATTGGCCAGCAGCAGGTATGTGCAACCTGGATCAGATGCCACTCATGCTGACTACTGACTACCTACTAGCACTGACTAGCAGCAAACAGCATCTTCAGCACACCTGACGCAGCCTCAGCCTCACGCGCCCTCAACACCTGCTCACACACACGCTCACTCAGCCGGTCCACCAGCATGCTCACACCCGCATCCCCGCCTAGCGCACCCCCATACACAGCCAGCAGCGTCATGCTCACATCCACACACACACCGCAGAACCGTACATCTGCAACATACCGTGTCACATACTTGATCAGCGGAGACAACGACGCCTCATCCCTGTTCTGTAGTGCTTGTCGTAGTCCACCGCGTTTCTGCAACTCACGCAGCACAGACAAGGTCATCATGGCATCCGTATCTGCCTTCAACACCATATCCAACGCATCACTGTATGCGTACCGTCGAAGTGCCTTGTCGTGTGCTTTCAACTTGCCGCTCTCCCGTGCCAGCACCGCTTCATCCTGAACCACACGATCCGCCGCACCGCCTTTATACTCCGCACCACGAAGCATCCGCGACACAGTGCTCGTTGCCTTCCGCCCACTCGCCGCAGTCTTACTCACTGAAGACCGTTGACTCCGCGTCCGAATACTCAGCAAGCCACTCGTCAATCCCACCACCAAATGCTTCTCATCAGGCGATACACCCACCGACAAAATAGGTCCCGGGTACTTGACACTATGCACCACTTTCCAACTCTGCGTGTCATACACCTTCAAATGTCCATCCACACCACCACTCAATAAGCGTGACCCTGCCTGTGTCGTTGCAAGACACGTCACACCGCGCGCATGATTCTGCAGTGTGCGTAGCGGTTCAGAGCGACCACCAACGAGGTCCCAGATACGTACATCCAAACCACCCGCAGACGCAAGGGTTGTGCCGCTTTGTGAAATGGGAAGGAGGCGTTCGACGTTACTCGCGTGTGAGAATTGCATGACTTGTCCAGTGTGTTCTGAGGAGCGTTGATCCCACACACGCACAGTCTGGTCATACCCACCACTCACAACCAAATGAGGTGTATTGGGCAAAAACGCAGCAGTGCGTACATAATCTTCATGACCTTTAAAGATGCGAAGCGGTGCTTGCGTCGGCATATCCCACAGACACACCGTTTTATCATCCGATGCCGTCAATAAGGTCGTTTGGTCGTGTGGTGAGAACTGTGTCACATGAACCGGGAGGCGATGATGTCGAATACTCCTCAAGATACTCCGTGACCCACTCTCAACACCTGCACCAGACCTGATCCATCCCCAGCAATCAGCAATTTCCCATCCGTCTGAATGTCCCAGAAAACACAGTCTCACTGAATCGTGAAATCGTCTTACTC